TTTGGTACTCCGTACTAGAGAATTGTATGGAGATCTTGATTTTCTAATAATTCCGTCATTCAATAATTTTGCAACTTGTTTATTTACTTCTGGTTTCAAAGCTTGTGGATAGGGGTATGATTTGCTGTAGATAGCAACATCGTCGGTAGTTCTAATATCTGCCTTGACTTGGGTAGTAAAAGGTAATTTCTCGTCGGGTTGGAACAAATCTTGAAATTCTTTGAGAAGTTTATCGAGTTCTGATTTTTGGTAGTTGTCCAAATGTTCGTTACGAATATGAATTTTGTTAACTTCCTGTAATTTGTACTGGAGTAAGGGGTTAGCAAATTTGTTTTTTATAATTAGTTGTTCGTTCGGAGTATCAATGACGGCTTTCAGTTGTTTTAAAGTATCATGCCCAATGATTGCGTCGAATGACTTCAGCTTATCCATGTGAAAAAAATTTACCTCCAATTCAGAATAAGGTCTGAATAATTTATCTTTTGAAAATGTGTTTATCTGGATATCTCCTCCAACGGAAGAAACTGAGAATGGTTTTTTCTCGTTGTGAGAAATTATTGCGTATTTAGGGTAAATGAAATTTTTGTTCGACCGTGTATCTACTAGAATCTTGAGAGGTTCTTCTACTTTACCATAATAAAAGAAGTACGGTAAAGTGGAATTTATTCTAAAAAATTGAGTTCGGCTTGTTCTGCAAATTCTGCAGGCCTTTCTCGTTCTTGTGCTTCAATTTGTTTAATGTATCTTTCGTAGGAGCTTGTTTCTTCTGGGTAGTATTCCTCATCGTCTGTTGGGTAGTAATCAAGCTGTTCGGTAATTTCCAGGTCATGCTGTGGATCTTCATATTTTTGAGTTTCAACATTGAAAAGTCTAGGCCTCTTCATTGGTTGTCCTTGAGGAGCTCCTGTAGGCCTATTTTGATAATTTATTTGTCTAGACCTAATAGACTGATCTACGTCCATAGGGACGGGTTTGTCTAATGGTTTTTGAAAGGGGTTTCTTTGTGGGAAGTTAGAGTTATTAAATGGAGAATTGTTGAATGGTGTAAATCTTTGGTGTGGTACGGGAGGTGGGAAATTTCTGGAATGATATTGATGTCCGAATGGTGCACATTTTGGTACGGGTTGAAGAATGTGAGGTTTAAATGGAATTCTTGGCATTTGCATTAATTTTGGTGGTAGCTTTGGTGGAAATGGAATTTGGTTGCGAGGTCCGGGGAAGCTTTCCGTAATTTTTGGTTTGGTTAAATGCTTTCTAAACTCCATGTTTTGAAATGTTATACAATACGCGTAGGCGGTTGCTAACGAATCCACATTTGCATTTTTCAAAAATTTGCCTACTTCACCATCGAGTCCTCTTACGAAGGCATCAATAGCTTTTCTAGTGTATAACTGTAGGACTGATTTTGCCGCTTCAGGATGACTAAATTGATCATCCGTTGCAACGCAATTAGAGATTAGTGATAGGATTTTATTAATTTCGGCGTAGAAGTCTTCGAGAGTTCGGCCTCTTTGACAACTATTAGACAATTGAGTCTAATGTTCCCAGGTCTCGTTTTTCTCCATAGTATGTTTTAAGTGTCTTTTTTATCAAATGCCAGTTTATGTTCACGTTCGACGTTACTAAAGCGTCGTTCGCTTCTCCCCTAATCTTCCTACGGATCGTTTTACATATCACATGGAATTTGTTTCTTCTTGCGGTATTACTATTTGGGCTAGGTGAATACCAATTTACAAGTCCTTCGGCATCCTTGAGCCAAGCGTTAAGCTCGGTAGGATCGCCAGAAATTGATGGCAAATCCCTCACAAGGTCAGGGATTTTTTCTATTGATTCGGGATCCACAGGGTTTCCTGCCTCATCCACGAGGTAGAGTGGTGGGTCGGAGTAATCGATAGGCCGTGCTTCTGTCCCACAGCTTCTAGAGCGGCAATCCTAGCTGTCAATGCTTGGATATGCTGTTCCATATTGCTATTCAAATGAAGTCCTTGTAGTTTAAAGATAAGTTCTTCAATTTTGAAAAAGTGATTTGACGTTACGAATTTGCGTGGAGAGATGAGAATATATACATATATATATATATATATATATTTTGTACGGTCACTTAAATAATAAAAAGTTATATAATCCTAACACTAAAAATTTGTAGATGTTTCGTAGTGGGTTTTTTTAATTTGATTACAGATACACTTTTTCTTCACTTTTTTCTTTCGATACTTATATGTCTACACTTCACTATTTTTTCACTTTATTTCTTTCTATGCTGTAATTAAATTTTCATTAGTTAATACTTACAAAATAAATCTGGACATCTTCTGGGGACACCAAAAGATTGCGGGATCCGTGAGGGCGCTTGTCCTGGTTGTTGTCGAATCCTATCCCAACTCTGCCGGGAGCAGTAGAGATGCGTTGGGTCGGGGCCCGATGAGTGTCTTCTCTCCTTCTCAGCACGGCGGCGATGTCCTTTTTGCCAGGAGCGAGTGATTAGCTGTCCTGGTTACTACGGTGCCTTTCGTGCGGCTGCTGATGCGATCCGGATAAGTTTCCAAACTAAGTGCAGGAGTGTGATAATCACTAACGATTCACCTCTTCCTGGTGTGATGTTTGTTTCGACTTAGTGTCCACTTGGCTCTAACGCTGTGAATCTACTAATAGTATCTCTAAACACTAAACACTTGAAGCGGGTCGCGTTGTTACTAACTCTTGTTAAATATCTTTGACGATCAACAAACTTCCCTGAAGATCTGCAAATTTCTCGGAGGTTCTGCAGATTTCTTTTAAGTCCCGTGTGTTCTTCAGAAGTTCTGCAAATTTCTCTAAGAATCTACAAAGTTCTTGAATCTTTGCAGCTTTAAGATCCTTAAATATCAACAAGTACCTCTGATATCCACTAAATTTCTAATGATCTACGAACTTCTCGAAAGTTCTGTAATTTTCTCTGTTGATTTTCATGATTCAATGAATATAAGCAAAATAGCTCTGAACATCTGCACAATTCCCTAAAGTGTAAAAAAAATATCTAGAAATTTTTGAGCTTCCCGGAAGTTTAAGGGAGTTCTCTGAAGATGTACTAATTTTGATGAAATTATGCAAATATCGTTAAAGATCAGCGAACTTCCCTGAAGTTCTGTAAATTTCTCTTAATCCGAGTAATCTGAGAACCTCAATCAAATTCTGAAAAATTATTTAAAAATCTGCAGATTTTTCAGTAGATTTACGATATACGATCTGAACTTTTCTGAAGTTTCTAAAATTAAAATTCTGTTATGTTTTCTGAAGTACTGTATTTCTGCTCTGAAGATCTACGGACTGCCCTGAAGTTCAACAAATTTCTCAGGAGATATTCGAACTTCTCTAAAGTTCTGTAAATTTATTTGTGGATTCTTGGAATTCCATAAAGTTCTGCAGATTTATCTGAAACTATTTGAAATTCCCCAAAGCTCTACAATTTATCTGGAAATATTTGAACTTCGCTGAAGTTTTAAAAATTTCTCTGAAGATTTACGAATTACTCTGAAGTTGTGTAAATACTTCTAAAGATCGGCGAACTTTCCCGAAGCTCTGTGAGTTATGCTGAAGTTATGCAAATTTGTCTAAAAATGTACGAATTTCCTGAAGTTCTACAGGCTTCTCTTAAGGTCTACGGACTTCTCTGAGGTTTTTCAGATTTATATATTTCCAACTTCCATGGAGTTTTGCGAAATCGTGTACTTTCGTACATGGCTTAGTTTTGTTTTTGAATTTGAAGTATTTTTCTGTAATTTTAAGAATTTTTCTGCAAATCTCACATTTTTATGAAACTGTGAAACTTTCTAAACCATTTAATGTCTCTGAAAATCTGCAAAATTCCTTGCAGGTCTGCAGATTTCAGAGTATTGAAGAGAAGATATTCTTCTGAAGTTCTACAAACACCTTTAAAGATCTGCAAAGTTGTCTGAAGCTCCGTAGTTCTATTCTCAAGTTCTACGAATTACCATGAGGCTCAATAAATTTCTCAGTAGATCAGAAAACTTCTCTGAAGTTTTGTAAATTCCTCTGTAGGCTCTCGGGCTACCCTGAAGATCTGAAAATTTCTCTGAAGATCTTCGAAGTTACATGAAGTTTTTAAAATTTATCAAAGAACATATGAGGTTCCTTGAAGTTTTAAATGTTTCTCTCAAGTTTCCGTACAATCGTATTTTTTTTAAATCGCCGAACTTCCCTGAAGTTCTGCAAATTTCAAATCGTTAGTTTCCAACCGGTGGTTGTACCAACCGGTGAAAACTAACGATTTTAAATTGGCACTCTACTTGACTAGCCTATTGGTCCCAAGCAAATCGATTAACGTATCCCATTCTAGTCGAAATTCTAGTACTACACAATGTTTGTTTTGATTCGTGGAAATCTAACTGTCAAAATGAGTTTGACAGCAGTTTGATTTATATTTTTAAGGATTTTCACTACTATACTCTGAAACAGTACACCAATACAATCGGACGGGATAATATATCAATATAGGAATCTGATTATTATAAGGGTGTCAAACTCCCCCCTTTAAGTTGGTGCCTATGCAAGCGGTTCCCATTCATAACAGCAAGCTAGGATATTTTATCTCCCAATGGCAAACCTTTTAAGTCTTCTTCTTTTTTTCACGCACAGTGAATGTCATCTCAAGCACATTTATCGCACTCCGCTGATCACCGCCTACTGCGCCAAATCTAGACGACTCTTCAATTTTCAAAATTGCTCGACAGTGCCACTCTCCGCACGTGTGCATCCACTTTTCCTCCAATCCACAAGAGCGAAAATCGTAATTCCCATTCGTTCCCTGTGCTGATCCTTCTTAGCGTTCCACGGTTTATATCGTTTCAATTGGGAAAAAATTATCAAACCATTTACCCGACCTTCTCACTCCAAATCAAACTCATCCGAAACCGAAATTGAGTTTGATTGAGCAAACATTCCCAAATATCACCCCATCACTGACAATCCCCTCTTCTTCTTTCCTAATTCTGTCATTTCAGTGGACAACGGTGTGCAGTTCGATGCGGCACGGGCCTTCCTCAAAGAGCTGGACGTGACCAATCCGGTGTGGATTGGGCTGATGCGACCGGAAAACTCGGCACGCTTCACCTGGACGTAAGTAACGTGATGGCTATATTTGGGGCGGGAAGGGCAAAGGGAAGTTTACTGCATAGAATCACCCTTCCCCCCGGGGTGACAGCACTGAAAAGGTGACACAGCAAAGGACGAAAATGAACCGTTCAGTCTCCCCCTCTTGGGAACACTAGTAATTCGTTTTTTTTTTTTTTTTTACTGTTACTTGTATTTATTGCGCGTTTCTCACCAACCAAACTGGACAAATAATCACGTTTTCACTTATTAAAAAAGAGTGATAAAAGTGCACGTTTACCTCAAATTTTGTTGTTGTTTTCGGTGCACTTATTCCTTATGAAGCAAGAAGTAAGTGCTCCGAAGACAACAAAACGATTTGACGTCAATGTGCACTTTGATCACAGTTTTTTGCATTTTTGAAGCAGTCCAGATTTAGTTGCAAGTTGCCGTTTCTAAGCTAATCGGAAACTCTATATTCGTACACATTGTTATTTATAAATTTCTGTTTAACAGTGCAATTCCCATAATCGTCAGAACCTTATCTCACTCAAGCGATCAAATTCTACGTTTTGCTTGTAAAATTCCAATGAAAAATTAAATATCGACTATCGTTTGAAACGCCGTGCCTACATGCTGATCACAATGATGTCATCCGGAGGTAATTGGGCGAGGTCAAATTTAATGCGATTACGACGGTGCATAATTATTGTTTATCAATTACGGCATATCATCACCCATAACAATTGACGTGACAATATTGAAATGTGCGATGCCACGGCTGGCTGACGAAAGTAATTTAGAGTGCAAGAATGATCGAATGATGAAAGTTCTGTGCGGAAAACGGGAAACTCCTTTAGTTGGTGATGTGAATTTGTGAACTTCCATCGAAGTCTCCGACTGGGACTAGCTTGTGAATGTGTATGCGTACGTTGACTTTGGTTTTAACAAAGATACCTAATTAACAATATATCCCACTAACAATTCTTCGCACAAGACAATGGATATACCACTCTTATGTGATCGCAGTGCCATCTGGTGAGTGCACATTGAAGCTGTTACTCAAATTTTCAATCATTACAACTTTATACGCAACAGAAACACTTGAGAAAACAATCACACATCCAGGCTCGCATCATGGTGGGCTTGTGATATGTTTTGCTTTCGACTGAAAGAGTTTACAATACCACCACCGGTTTCAGTAAGATGCAAATCTCTAATATTAATTGATGGTTTGCGAAGCTGTTGCTCAAAATAATCTTTATAAGCATAGAAGCGAAGACATCAAATCAAGAAGACTGGCAGAAGCAACAGATACAGTACCGAAGCGAAGGTGGAAGTAACGCATAGATAAATGAGCAAATTCACAAACCATTCTTCTGAGGTTGTAATCTTTGCTATCCTATTCGTTCGAAGCATTTACCTTTTCGCGTCAGATGACGCGATTGTGCCGGTCTCATAGCAATCGTATGAGAAAATGGTAGAGTTGCCAGTTGCCTTGATATGTTGTCTTCGGTAGAAGTAAACATGGGAAGCAACATTCCCTCTCCCTAAAGAATTATTCCAACACCACAGCCACTGGAAGTGCAACGTACCGTAATCATTGCTTGACAAACGTAAAATATGCCATCTTCATTGGCCAACGCAGTATGTATTCTATTCAAACAAAACTTTTTTTATCGTATAGGAAGGTATTTGTTGAAAATCGGAAGCTTCCGAAGCTGAGTGATGACACCGCTTCGTGTTTTGATTTGCGCTGTACCATCCGCTCAGTGGTGTGGGTTCGTACATGCATAGATGTTGGTGTACGTGTTTTCTTCCAACGCTGCAGTTCAGCGTAGAGCGTCGACCTATCACAATCACGATCGTCAAACAGCTGATGGTAGTAACGCTTTGTACATTACTATCGATGTGCTCGTCGAAGCTCTCTCCATGACCATCCATCAAGTTGACGAAAGAAGTAAAAAGCAACTGGTGAATGTCGTCTTCGGTTGTGATCCATCACCGATCTGATCATTCCCGACAATCACGACACTCATCTGTGCTCGCTTTGAAGCAGTTGCAGCTTTGCTTGCTTATGTGAGTGTGTTGGTGAGTGAGCCCAACAGCTTCCGTTTAATGTTGTCTGCTTTGTTTGTAACTCGCGCCTGCCGAGTCGAACTTAGTATGCGTAGGCATTGTTTTCATTTTCTTCTGTCGTTTCGCTTTTTCTCATGATCGTACTGCAGAAAGTCTTCATTGTTTTCGTTGTGCTTTTCATCATCAGCAGCGAGTGTAACGTTTTTCTTGTGACCAGCGACCATTACTGGTGATTGTTGTTTGCCATGGCTCCACCTCTCACTGCGTGACAAAACGTTCTGTCAGCGATAGTCGGTTGATGCGTAGACGAGTGTCACGTGAGAGTCATGATATTTTGCATCACTGGTTCAGCGTTCTCTCGTCACAAATTGTTCGGCGGAATTGTTCCTATAATAGTGTAATCCATTAGAAACCAATGCGTTCCACTATTATAGGAACCAATTTTAGCAACTACCACATCTATTGTATTGCAAAACAAAGATTTAAAGCTACACACTTAGAAATATCTAATTTTATACGTGACGGAATCCTTCATATAACGTAAAATTAAATGCTCCGAGACTGATATGTTCGTTATTCGACGAATATTACGTTTGATTGAGCTGAAATACGCGTCTATTATGGCTCAATTTTATGTCAAAATTGACGCTTGTATATGTCAGTCTCAAAGCACCTAAATTTACATGAGTTTCTAAAAGTATACGTATATACGTATTCTATGTAGATCGTTAATTTCTTTGATAAATAAAATTATTAATTCCTGCATAACTAACTCATCTTCTTCTTTTTTTTTTGACGTACACTGAGGCAAATGAACTCAAGAATTTCATAAGCCGAGCCTATGCGATCTAACACATATGAATTCTATAAACGTGACTAATGAATGATTTTCGGGTAACATGAAGTAGCTCTTAACCATTACATTTTTCCAAGCGTTGAAGATGAGTGGTCAACACACCGGCCCCGTATTCTCAACGTCCATGATTTGGTTACCGTCTGCTCCGATTTATTATATTTTTGTCAACCTTATTTTTCATAAGGCAAATCAATGAAATTCATACCGATTTCATGTGGCTGAAATTCATAAGTGTTTCTTATGGAATTCTTAAGTTCTTTTGCCTCAGTGTAGGACTACGTCTTTCTTTACTAAAGCCTAGTATACAGATCGAAGCGAAGCGAAAATTGAAGCACGCGAAAAATCATGAAATTTCGCTAGCGAAAAAGGTTGTGAAAAAATGTTTGTGGAACATTTTCCAGTTTCCTTTTTTCGCAGTTTACAGTTCATGTGAAACGAAATCGATCAGTTTACACCTCCGGTGAAGTGAATATCTGACAGATACGCTCTCCCGAAACGTCAACTTTTCGCTTAGCTGCTGCTCTTTTCGCGAGCGCTGCATGCGCGAAAAAAAATAAACGTAAGCGAAAAAGATGCGATCCACAAAATTAGATTTCGCTGGATCTGTTTACAGTTCAAAGCGAAGCGAAATATTTGCCAATTGCGTTTTTCGCGCAGATGAAAAATGTAGTATTTTGTATGAGATTTTCGCTTCGCTTCGATCTCTATACAGGCCTTAAACTGGGGGTAACATTACGAAATCGAAAATGTTGGGATGTTTTCAAACACTTATTTCTTTAAACCCGTAATATGAAAAATCTTATGCAATATGTCATTCGACGCAGACAGTATTCAGTAATTTTTTTTTGTGTGTACACATACTGAAAATAGTTAAACAATTAAGATATTTATCGAACATAATAGGAATATTTAGAGAAGCAATCAGAAGAGCGCGTGGAAGGCAAGAATCTATATTCTATCGCACGTTCATCACTTTTCTGCCCATGCAAAAATCAAACTCGCCCTGTGCATGCTCAAACGACGGTTCCATTTCGGCGCGTTGATTGGAGCTCAGAGTAACGCTAGAATGCGGAGAGTCGAAGTGCAGCGTCCATAAAACCGACTGTCAAATCGCTCCCACCGTCAGATCGGTGCAGATTCTCTGCTTGACCGTCAAGCAGTTCAGTTTGGTTTTTTCTCGCTCTGTCGAGTTGTTTGATAAATTTCTAGTTCGTTCCAAACGTTCACAGCTTTACTGCGCATTTACTCGCTTCGTCATTAGTGTCGGTACAAGCTCGGAGTACGAAGTGGTCTTAAACTACCTGACGGATTCCAATGCGGAGTACTTCACGCATGACATCCCCGGTGAGAAGCCTTTTAAAGGTAGTCATCAGAGGCCTACCGAACTTCGACCCCAAGATGGTTGAAGCCGAAATCAAGGACCGGTACCAGCTGGCCTCAATCGCTGTCTTCCGGCTGATGAGGAGAGACGAAAGCGTGAAGACGTACCCGGATTGTCTTTTCTTGGTGCACTTCCAGAAAGGGACGGTGACTCAAGCTATCGTCACCTGGAATGCTTCTTCAAGAGCAAAAAAGATTGAGTTTGCCGACTTCCTTCGCAAGCACGGTTTCGACGTGGGCCTTCTAACCGAGACCCACCTAAAGTCCGGCGATACCGTTATTTGACCACAACATTATCCGGCTTGATCGAACCAGCTCCTGGAAGGGGGGGCTGGGTGGTGTTTCGGTAGTTGTCAAGAAAGGAATCAAGTTCTGCACTCTGCCCCACATCCGCACTTCTATCATCGATGCCCAGTTTCAGAGGACTGGAGATCATCTGGACAAAAACGTAAAATGGTCGATCTGAACAGGCAGATTGCTTCCAGAATGGACTTAATCCGGGCGTGTTGTCCAGAATCAGGTAGAAGGTAGTCAAGGTCGCTACATCGCATTTGCTTGGCTCGACTATCCAAAGTCCACTCGAAGATCAGGTTGCGCGATGGGTTCAAAACCAAGATGAAGGGGAGGCATCTTCATCCCTTGGTGTCGTGTCTCCGGTGGATAAGGTTACAGTACAACAGATTTGCTCAGCGCTGAAATGCACCAAGAACTT